AAAAAAAAAAAAAAAAAGAAAAAGAAATGCAGAATTCCAGTCCATGCCATTTTCTGGGTAACAGAGGGTTTAGGAGAAATCCCTTCTGCTCCACTTCTGTTGAAAATATTTCTACACTCCAAGCACACTCAGCAGTGTCAGCAGGGCACAGCCCCTCAGGAGCTTGTGACGCCCATGTGCCCTAGTCTCAAGGAGGTCCCCAGATATTGCACTGAGCACCTGGTCTCCTTGTGAACGTCCCCATGAGAGCAGGGAGAGCCCCTTCTCTAGCTGGTGTCCCATGTCCTTATCAGGAGCACATACTCAGGGCCACACAGTTCTGGTCACCAACTATGGTGATGTGATTTGCTGTGTGTATTCGTCCGTTTTCACACTGGTATAAAGAAATACCCAAGACTGGATAATTTATAAAGGAAAGAAGTTTAATTGGCTCACAGCTCTGCATGGTTGGAGAGGCCTCAGGAAACTTACAATTATGGTAGAAGGGGAAGCAGGCACGTCTCACATGGTGGCAGGAGAGGTAAGTGCGAGGAGGAAGAACACCTTACAAAACCATCAAACCTCATGAGAACTCTCTCACTATCACCAGAACAACATGGGGGAAAACACCCCCTTGATCCAATCACCTCCCACCAGGTTCTTCCCTCAATACTTGCAGATTACAATTCAAGATGAGATTTGAGTGGGGACACAGAGCCCAACCATATCAGTGGCCTTGGGCAAGTGTCTCAGCCTCTCTGTCACTGCTTCCTCATCTGAATGAGAGGGTGACAGTAAGGACTCCCATCTCTTGGGGTTGTGTGGGCATGAAACAGTACAGCTAGTGCCGCTGAGAACAGGCACATTTGCTGCTCCTCTTCGCCACAGGGTGTGAATCGTGTCCCCAACACCGGCTGCCTGTCCAGGGCCACAGAGGAACCCTGGGGATCTCCATCCACCCCTACCACGTCTTGTAGATGAGGATGCCCAGGCTACAGAAGTGCTGGGAGTTCAGGGTGGCAGAGCTGGGGCTGAGCTCTGGCCTCCCAGGACAGGAGGTTCCTCCTGCGCCCTTGAGGCTGGAGCACCCTCCCTGCATCTGGACTCAGTGCGTCTGACTTCCCATGCGCAGAGATGCCACCTCCTCAGGGGCTGCAGGCTCCTGTTCGCACATGGAAGATGCGGCTCTGAGAGGTGAGGAGTCACAGCCGGAGCAGCACCCAGTCAGAAGCCTGCTCCATCCACAGTTTCTGCTGCCTCTGTCCTATCTCTCCTTTGAAAGGTGGGGGACGGGGACCTAGAGAGACTGCCAGGGCCCTCAGCCTAGCAGCGCCTCTTCCTGAGAGGCCACGTGGCCAGGAGAAAGGACATCAGCTATTGTTGGTGGAGGGAATGGGACATGGAGGGGGCATTCCTCTGCATCTGGGGGCAGCTTGCAGGGGAGGGCGGGTTGACCAGAAGGTGAGTAATGACCAGAATCAGCAGGACCCAGACCAGGAGGCTGGTGGAAGCGGTGGATGCAGCACCAGGTACCACGCGGGGACCTATTTAGAATCCAGAGAAGTGGCGTCCACCCCAGAGAGCTTGGGGACTGGGGTCTCTGAGGCAGAGGGGGCTGGCACCGGAAGGGCAGGGCTGCCACTTCGGAGTGCAGTTTGCAGGTGCGGCCAGGGTGCCTGGAGTGTGACAGGGGCGAGAGCAAGAGCTTGGAGCAGACCCTTGAGACCCCAGGAAGTGCTCTGCCAAGCATCAGTGCCCTCTTTCCTACAGAGAGGATGATGGGACCTTCCTCCTGGGTGGAAGTGATGAGCTATTGCAGGTAGATACAGACTTGGAAGAAATGGCAAGAAGCATAAGGCGGCAAGAAGTCTCCAGGGTACATGGACAGGCGCCCAGGGTTCCAGGGGGAGGTTGAGGCAGTCCACGGAAAAAAAGCGGCGAGGCCGAAGAAGAGGCTGGGTTCCCACAGCAGAC